TACGATGACTCTGCACCCCCGCCTTCCGCCGCTGACTTCTTCAGAATTTTTTTCTCGTTCCCTTTTGAGTCCCATTTACCCCACTTACCTTTTATACGCACTTTTTTAATTTACATTCACTTTTTTGGAATACACTTTTTATTGTGAAGACCCCCCCAAAACCCGTTTTGGGGGGAACTCCCTCAGGCCCACTGCTGCCACCACCTCGCTTTAATTTTATGTATTGTATATAATATATATATTTAATATTATATATATATATATATATAAAATATATATATAAATAAATTTTTTATATTACCCCTTTCTGGCTGCTTTTTCACGCGTGTCTACATCAAGTTTGCGTTAGCCCAACCTCTTAACTATTTGATCTTTTTCTTTAGTCACCGCTTTTTACTTTTTATATGTGTAAAAAATGTGGCAACAGGTAAAATAGGGCCCCAACAAGGCACTTTGAATTTTTTTTGTTTAAATTTCAGGCTTTCTCTAGCCTTTACTTTTTTTATTTTTGTAAAACTTTGGTTATACTTTAGGGTTTATCACTGACTTGTCCTAACACTGGTTGCTTCTAGTCTAAAACCGCCCCAAAAGCACTAAGATTCTCGGAGCCTGGCGCTTTTTCCCACTACACTACGTGTGGGAATGTGTTTGTGGGTTTTGTTTATGTGTGTGTGGTGTGTGTTTTGTGTGTGGTTGGGAGAAATTTTTATATATATAAATTTGTGGTGGTGTGTGTGTGTGTGTGTGTGTGTGTGGTGTGTGTGACTCAGAATCAATTTTGACCAATAACTACTACGTTGTGACCGGGTGGAAGTGTGAATTGCTCTTCTCTAAAAATTTTTTCATGATTTAACCTTTAAACAAGTAACCCCCTTCAGTATTCATTACCTTTTTAACTTGTGAGTTATTTCTTTACCATTTTTGCCATCAAAACTTTGGGGGGGGACCCGGGCCCATTTTGTCCTCTTAATCGTAAAAACCTTTGTAACTTGTCTGGGTGACTAGACCTACCCGGAGTTCTTACCCCTTTTAAATTGTGAGTTCATTACTTTGTAAAATTTTGAATTCATTACCTCGTAACTTTTTCCTATCAAACTTCGAGGCCATCCCCGGACCCATTATGTACCTTGTAATCTTTTAAAACTACCGCCCAAGGATGGGTATGGGTGCATAAAAAACATATTAAACAACTAAACAAGTGACCATAAAAATGCTATTGGGGGGACAGCCAAGCCCCCCCTCTTTCACCGTCCCCCAAACATGGAGAACCCACCTCACGCATCTCCAACCCCTTTCGTTCAGTATCTTTATTATGCACCCCAACCCCCCCGTGGACGGTAGTCAAAAAATTACAAATGTACAAAGCCATCCAGGGTTGGGCCCCCCAAAATTTTTATATTACAAGATGAACAAATGATAATGAACTATTTACATGTTTATATCTGATCACAGTCGTAAAGAATTATTTATGCAGACATGAATTAGGTCACACACACACACACACACACACACACACACACACACACACCAAGTGCAAAATCACAAAAATTGGGGAAGGTCAAAGAAGACCGCAGACAGAGTACAGGCTAGGGGTCAGACAGAGTACAGGCTAAGGGGCCAAAGACTACAAACTCACTCAAGGAAGAGGATCTTAGGGTGAGCATGCCGAGCACATCTGAGGTGCACATCAACCAAATAACTGCTGCAGCATATGGGCGCCTGGCAAACCTGAGAAAAATGTTTCGGCATCTGAGTAAGGAGTCATTCAAGACATTGTACACTGTGTACGTCACGCTCACATTGGATTGGAGTATGCAGCACCGGTATGGAACCCACACTTGGTCAAGCACGTCAAGAAATTATAAAAAGTGCAAAGGTTTGCAACAAGGCTAGTCCCGCAGCTAAGGCGTATGCCTTACGAGGAGAGGTTAAGAGAAATCAACCTGACGACATGGAGGACGGGAGAGACCTGGAGTTTACCTGGAGAGAGTTCCGGGGGGTCAACGCCCCCGCGGCCCGGTCTGTGACCAGGCCTCATGGTGGATCAGCGCCTGATCAACCAGGCTGTTACTGCTGGCTGCACGGAATCCAACGTACGAGCCACAGCCCGGCTGGTCAGGTACCGACTTTAGGTGCTTGTCCAGTGCCTGCTTGAAGACAGCCAGGGGTCTATTGGTAATCCCCCTTATGTATGCTGGGAGGCAGTTGAACAGTCTCGGGCCCCTGACCCTTATTGTATTGTCTCTTAACGTGCAAGTGACACCCTTGCTTTTCATTGGGGGGGATGTTGCATCGTCTGCCGAGTCTTTTGCTTTCGTTGTGAGTGATTTTCGTGTGCAAGTTCGGCACTAGTCCCTCTAGGATTTTCCAGGTGTATATAATCATAACCATGTATCTCTCCCGCCTGCGTTCCAGGGAGTACAGGTTCAGGAACTTCAAGTACTCCCAGTAATTGAGGTGTTTTATCTCCATTATGCGCGCCGTGAAAGTTCTCTGTACATTTTCTAGGTCAGCAATTTCACCTGCCTTGAAAGGTGTTGTTAGTGTGCAGCAATATTCCAGCCTAGATAGAACAAGTGACCTGAAGAGTGTCATCATGGGCTTGGCCTCCCTAGTTTTGAAGGTTCTCATTATCCATCCTGTCATTTTTCTAGCAGATGCGGTGAGATCCTCCGACATGATCACTCCCAGGTCTTTGACGTTGGTGTTTCGCTCTATTTTGTGGCCGGAATTTGTTTTATACTCTGATGAAGTTTTAATTTCCTCGTGTTTACCATATCGGAGTAGTTGAAATTTCTCATCGTTGAATTTCATATTGTTTTCTGCAGCCCATTGAAAGATTTGGTTGATGTCCGCCTGGAGCCTTGCAGTGTCTGCAATGGAAGACACTGTCATGCAGATTCGGGTGTCATCTGCAAAGGAAGACACGGTGCTGTGGCTGACATCCTTGTCTATGACAGATATGAGGATGAGGAACAAGATGGGAGGACTTCATAACGACATATAAAATACTGAGCGGAATTGACAATGTGTGGTGTGGGAGTGGGTCGCGGGGGTGACGGATCGTGTGCCCACTACAATGTGTGGAATGGGAGTGGGTCGCGGGGGTGATGGATCGTGTGCCCACTACAATGTGTGGTGTGGGAGTGGGTCGCGGGGGTGATGGATCGTGTGCCCACTACAATGTGTGGTGTGGGAGTGGGTCGCGGGGGTGAGGGATCTGGTCCACTGCAATGGTGGTGTGGGAGGGGGTCGGGGGGGGTGGGGGATCGTGTGCCCCTACAATGTGGGTGGGGGGGGAGTGGGTCCGGGGGTGAGGATTGTGTCCCCCACACAAGTGTGGTGGGGAGGGGTCGCGGGGGGTGATGGATCGGTGCCCACTACAATGGGTGGTGGGGAGGGGTCGGGGGGTGTGGACGTGTCCCCATACAATGTGTGGGTGGGAGGGGTCGCGGGGGTGATGGATCGTGTCCCCACTACAATTTTGGGGTTTGTGGGAGTGGGTCGCGGGGGTGGATGTTGCCCACACAATGTGGGGTTGGGGTTTGGGCGCGGGGGTGAGGGATCGTGTCCCACTAAAATGTGTGGTGTGGGAGGGGGTCGCGGGGGTGAGGTCGGTGCCCTTTTGGGTGTGGTGTGGGGGGGGTCGCGGGGGTGATGGATGGTGCCCATACAGGTTATTTTTTTTAAAATTTAGGCGAACAAAACAAAACCCGCACATAGGAGAGAAAACTTAACACGGTTTCTTTCCGACTTGGCCATTTACAAGTCCCGTGATTCGAATGGTCCAAGTCGGACCGAAACGTCGTCTAAACTTATCTCTCCCAGTAACTTTGTTACTGTTTGATGCCAAAACTTTCTTTAATTTGTTTTTAACTTTCCTTAGAATCTAACTTCACATTACTTAAAATTTCAATTTTTCCCCCAGATTTTAAAAATTTTGACTCACATTTTTTTTAAAATTCCCCCTATCCCACTTTGTTAAAAAATTTTCAATAACGGGGCAATCTCGATAAATTAGTGAGTCTCTTCAGATTGTTCAAATTTTTAACATCAATCTAGTTTAAACCCAAACAACGGCTCGATTTTAAATTAACCTTGTTAGGTGTTGCTTTACTTAAAACTGGAGTAATTATACCTGAGAGTGTTTGGGGGGTCAACGCCCCCCGGCCCGGTGTGTGACCACTTCGTGGGGGATCAGGGCCCGATCAACCGTTGTTTCTATATTAACTCTGTAGAACAAAGGAAATTTTGGGGAGTGCAACAATTTCATGCGACTACTTTGACTCCATATTGTATTGTCTAAAAAAAAGCAATATGTTTTTTGGGTGGGTGTGTTTGAGGAAAAGTGTATGTGGGGAGAGGCACGTCTACGTACGTTTTTCATATTGCAATTAAGAATCGACATATTTCAAGATCTGGATTCACTTTGTAATGTTTCGCCCCTCCTTTCTTTTTCATTACAAGGACATTTGAAGACGTACAATATATACAGAAGACATGGAAATTATTAAACGACGCTATAACGGGACGTTAAAAACTTATTTTTAAATTCAAAGAAATCATAAAATAAATTTAAATTTTACAATTATTTCATTCCAGTTATTCATCCCCCCATGTTATACAATGATAAAATTTAAATATTTCAGTTTTTTTTTTCAAAATCATAAATTTTTTGTAATATTCCATTTGGGCCCCAAATTATTCATGTGATTTTCAAGCTACTCGTCATTTTCATAAAAAAAATGGGAAAAAAGAGAGGGGTTTTAAACCTTTAAAATAAGACATTGCTGATAGTTTGGTCTTGCGTCTGGCACATCTGCCGTCTGACACATTTGCCGTATTTAAAAACATTTTAATACAATTCTAACAAAATATCGCAAGCAGTTAGGATGAATGACATCAAATGTAAAATATTTCATCTTCTAAACTACAGTATAACTAATGTATAAAACGGAAATATATGAAAAATATTTTATCGTAGTCAACAGGTGTGCAGTATTGCGGCAATATGGCGGAGGTGTCCAGGAAGGCAGAGGCCGGTGGTGAGTCTCAGATCACCTCCCAACACACTACTGTAAGCTTCATCAACTTCACTGCTCTCTTCAGCTACTTCAACACACTCCATCGTCATCATGCCTGATCCCTGCTGTGACGGTAAGACCTCTAAGTGATCCAGTTTAAGGTGCTCTTCAAACTAGACTATTTCTCACCTTTAAGAATAATATTGACTTTGTCCAGGCTACGTCGCCATGCTTTATTGATGCTGGTAAACAGTTTTACTTAAGTGGAACTGTTCACTTCCATTGATGAAGTCTGATTACTTCCCAAATCCCAGGTTCTGCGTGACTCCTATGGATTCAGCGCTTCTCCCTCAAATATAATAATTGGTTATATTTTAGAGAATTTTTTGTTTTGGATCCAAGTGTATATGATATGAAGAAATTAAATCGGCCATGAGTTGGTATGTGGTATCCTAAGCAAGAATTGTTCATCTTCAACACGTTCAGTCCAGACAGTAAACTAGATCTTTCCAAGTCTGTGACGCTTCTGCTCAGTCTGGTCGATAATTCCCACCCCTCTCTATCCCCTTTTCTTTCTCTTTCCCACCATTTTCTTTAGTAGTAGGTGAGGTTCATTTCCAGAAGCCTGCTTTCCCTCAGTCTTAGTAACTGATTGGCTCTTCAGGCAAGACTCTTCCCCTCAAGGGAGGTTCCTTGACGCTGGTGAGGGGCTCTTGATCTAGGGAAGTGGATCTGTGCTCCGGTTCCCTGAATTGAGCCTGAATACCTTCCATCCCCCTCACATGCGCTGTATAATCCTACAGGTTTAGCGCTCCCCGTGATTATAATTCAGGCAAGACTGAGAACAAAACTAAGTAATGGATTACTTTCATCCAGTTAACCTACTAATCTTTATCTTTTCCCTCGCCCCATAATAGTAACAAGGTTGAAAATTCAGATTTAACCCCGACGGGATAATTTAGGATAATCTAAGAAAGCCATCATTGGGTTTTATTTAAGTTGGGTTTCTTAGGTTGCTAATGGTTCACTAAGATCAAGAAAACTGTTAGTGATTAAATAATTTAATCTCAAGGGAGGTGCTTTGATTCTGTTGAGGGGGCTCTTGATCCAGGGAACGGGACTTGTCCTCCCCTTCCTTGGATCGAACTCTAACGACTGTTTCCCAGGCGAGTATGACCCCCCCCCCCTCCCCATAGGTTCAGCGCTTTCCCATGCAATTTTTTTTCTGATTAGCTCCCGGGTTCTCAAGGTATTTATCAGCTGCTGGTGAACAGAAGCAGCAGTTTAGTTTAATGTTTATGATGCACCCCCATACCCATCCTGTGGGCGGTAGTCAAAAGATTAGATACATAATGGGTCCAGGGACTGGGCCTCTAAGTTTTGATAGCCGAACAAGGTACAGAGGTAATGAATCGTGTAAGTAAATTTAGTTTATACATGGCTACAATCACCATCAAATTAGAGTAATGAGCAATTCACACGTCCACACCCGCTCACAACTATAAGTTATTGGTGCAAATATTGTTGGGACACACACACACACACACACACACACACCACACACCACACACACACACACACACACACACACACACACACACACACACACGGCCAGGAGCTGTGACGCCGGAAACTGCCCATATTGTTCACCGTTAATGCAATCCCTCGCCGACACCATTATTAACAACTACGTTATTACTAACGTACCTGTACATCCGCCAGGTGACTGTAAATGCGGCAAGAGTGAGTGTTGCGCAGACGGCAAGAGTTGCACTGATAGTGATGCTTGTCAGTGTGCTGCCGACGACTCCAAGAAGGAACACTGTAAGTAAGCAACCTATCCTGTACAAAACCCGATTCCAAAAAGCTCTGAAACACCCAGGGCCTTAAAGAGATTTTTTGAAAGGCGGAACAAGACTTCTTTGGGGCCCCTGGGGGGCAGACTGAGGGCCCCCAGTTTAAGTGAATGATACAAAATTATTTTTCTAAATATACTGAAGAAACTAAAAAAAAAAAAAAAAAAAAAAAAAAAAAAAAAAAAAAAAAAAAAAAAAAAAAAACCACAAGTCCCTGGCTATGGAGTCCTTTCAGAGATTCACAGCCGGGCCCCGGACCAATGTACCAGCTGAGGCCCCCCCCCCCTCCCTCTTAAAGGTCCAGGTAACATCCCATATATATATAATTTATATTTATATATTATATTATGAGGAAGTAACTGCAGCTTTAGGATGTTTTAAGTTGCCTAATAAGGCTATCCGACAATTACCTTAAAGTACGCTAACTTTGCATAAGTATTTATAAAAGGTCACCTGTACTTGATTCGGGTGGAGGGTCACCTACCTTGCTGCTCGGTTTTAAACCAGGTTTCGTGGTTGGTGACCTGATCAACAAGAGTATTGATTTTAGCAACATGCAGAACATGTTAACCAACGTCCGTTTCTTAACGCTTCGATTTTTTTCAGTACATACCTTTATTTTAATTAGGCTAGGTTTTGTTTGGACAGGTTATGTAAATCTATAAAAAAATTATATTTAGATAAATGGTTCAGAGAACCGACAAGTTGATAAATTAGACATGTGCAACACTTGGGTATCTTTGAGGATTGATGGACTGACCATATCGACTCAAGGCTGAGGGACTGATTACCTCTTTAACTTCTGTTCTTCCCCGTTCTCCTCTGTATGGAGTGATGAAGCAACTGTGGCGCGAAACGTTTTCTCGATAAAGATTCACAAGTGTTGCACATGTCTAATTTATTAACTTATATTTAGCCACAAATAAGCAAATACATTGCCAAATACATTGGACAGATACCTAAAGTCAGTGCCGGATCAGCCGGGCTGTGGCTCATACGTTGGACTGCGTGCCGCCAGCAGTAACAGCCTAGTTGATCAGGCCCTGATCCATCGGGAGGCCTGGTCATGGACCGGGCCGCGGGGGCGTTGATCCCCGGAATAACCTCCAGGTAACGAAGTGGTCAATAGAGGCAACGTTCAAATGTGAACATGATTGTAGTTTTGTACGTGTCAATCATGTGAGCAAAACTCGGTAGTGGACCATACGAGTAAGATCTGCGTCATCAGACCCCTCAAGGAAGGTTCCTTGATGTTGGTGAGGGGCTCTTGATTTAGGGAATTGGGTATGTGCTAAAGTTCCCCGAATTAACCCTGAATGCCTTCCACATCCCCCCCCCCAGGCGCTGTATAATCCTCCTGGTTTAGCGCTTCCCCCTTGATTATAATAATAATAATGCGTCATCAGAAATTATTTGACAGTACCACCTGCAAGAATTTGACTTTTTTTTGTGAAGTGCTAGAACCACGTGGGTCATTCGCCTCTCGTGGTGGTGGCTCGATCCTCCGTTCGCTGGTCACAAAACTTCGTTCGCCGGAATGGTCCCGGCCAGGGTCTTTTTTCCATGAGGTGACCCGTCATTAACATAAGATTTTGTTCGAAATTTTAACCCCGGAGGGTTAGCCACCCAGGATAACCCAAGAAGGTAGTCATCGAGGGGACTCCAATTTCCATTGGGCTAACACCCAGAAACGCGCCCAGTGTTTCCACCCTTGCCGAGGATCGAACCACGGACACTTGGCGTATGAAGTGAGTTACCTACCAGGCCACGGGCCACATTGTCTCCCCAGGTAGGGAAGTACTCTACCCTATATACCATAGCAATACAGATACATTTTATTAGTATTGCCTAGATTTATTTAAAACTATTCCTTACGAGCTTGGTGCTTCCCCGGTAATTATGTATTGTCTAGAGACATTAAGGCTCCTCAGAGACTTACCCCCCCCCCCAAAAAAAAAAAAAATGCTCCATAAAATATCTTTGTAATGTTAAGAATGGTTTTCTTCGCTACTTTATTTTTACTTAACAATTTCTTTCCAATCTTTGAATTGAATCTCCTTACTTTCAGCACACTTATTTGCTGTATAGTCCTTGTGGCTTAGCGCTTCTTTTTTTATTATAATAATAATCAGCACACTTATTTTATTAGTCTTTTTTTTTTCTCATTAAAAAAAGATTTTTTACACCCACAGGTGGTGATACGTGTGATTGTAAGGAGAAAGGCGGCGCTTGCAAGTGCGACGGAAAGTGTTCCTGTTAAGGGGAATTCTCCAACGGTACCAGCTGACTTTTGTCGATTCTGCTTCTGTTAACTCGCCTTCACAACGGCGCCATGCGACAGTTTCAATCTGCCTCCTCTTGATGGACCTCGTTGGTGTAACCTCTTTTGATTCTGCCTCGTAATTCTGTTGATGGGGGGGGGGGGCCCTTTCCTCTACCTGTGTCAATTGACCTGCTGGAGTCTGTTGTTGCTGCTGCTGCTGCTTCCTGCTGCTCGCGTACACACACACACACACACACACACACACACACACACACACACACACGCCTGGAGATCAGTTATCGAGTGAATATTAATTTTTTTTTCTTAGTTGACGAACACTGGGGCCCTGATGGTCCTAAGGTCACTTGTTTCAGCAAGTGGCTCGTGGCGCAGAGCTACAAAGCTCTACACTTAGCAGAAAAGTGCATGGGTAGTCTCCTCACCTTGAATAGATATAATCCTAGGAGTTATGGGCTATTTAGGATGAGATGTCCAAATTAAGATTCGGTGTAAGGGTCCTCACACTCCAGGTCACACTAAGGCCCTATACAACACTTCTTGTTTATCATTCAACTGCGTTGAATGGTTATACTGTCTTTGGCTAGTCGCATAGGGAGCAGGTCTAAATATTTAAAAAAAAATTGTCAACAGCCATAGCCCAGTGGTGAGAGTCGCGCCTCTCATCATAGATCCAGGGATAGGATTCCCAAACTAATTTTTAATTATATATCTTTTAAAGAATTATATGATGAACGAAGTATTCAAAACTAGAGATCACGAGCATATATCTGCTCCTGTAGCTACAAATATATAATCATGCATGCTCACTCACTCAAGTCCAGTGTCTTTGACAAGTGCTAACAACCGGCAATCTTGTACATTTAGAAAATTGGAAATAAAACCCACTAAAAGTAAGCAAATAGATACTGATTAGTTAAGAAAAAACAACGTAAGGACAAAGTTTAAATTTCGTAAAGTTGTATAGAATAAGTAGCCATTTCTTAAAAAAATAAATGGCTGTGATCTTAGTAGCTCATCAGATAATTGAAAGGCAATTACAACTAATTACACACGAAGACGTAATGGACAAATTTCTGAACACTCTTTGGACAGTTTCGCTCTAGAGGTTTATGAAACCTTGATGAAGCTCTACAGATATGAAAAGAAGTCTTCACAAAAGCCTGTTCCGTAACCTTTGTGTTTAAATTCGTGTCTTCAAACTTTTTAGTGTAAATCTGCCAGGAAGTAGTTAACAGTGTAACAGGAAGTGGGAAGCACGCGTGGAGGAAACAAATTATGACTTGAGGAAGGACACCGCGACCACAGCTGTACTCTTGAGCGTTGTACGACTCGCAAGGGTTTTTTTTTTTTTTTTTTTTTTTTTTTTTTTTAGTAAGTCCTTATTACTGTTGTACCTTCGTGTGTGTGCGCGCGCGCACTAAGCAGCAGTGATCTTTTATCACTTGAAAATTAACATTTTTCTTTGATAGTGATATGGTTAAGCGCTTCTTGATAATTATAATCAAATAGTGACATTAGTTTTTTTGGTTGCATATGGTTTACGGTGTGAAGACTGAGGACAAGCTTTTATTGTGAGCATTTCGCTCTAGAGATTTATCATGGCCATAAAGTTCTACATGACGAAACTTCCCAATAAAAGGTTGCTCTGCAACTTGTCTTGGTCTGCACATTTGGTGGCAATACGCCGTTTCATCTGTTTGACTTCGTTCGTTGAAACTGCTCGGTTAAGATTTGCTAAATTAGTATGAATATAAGTAAAGTAAAAATATTCTATTGTAATTTTCCACGTTAAAAGATCAGGCCATTAGTTTCAGTAATTAGCTAAAAAAAATTATCATTTCACTAATATTTCATGAATAAAAACTAATGCTCCCCCCCCCCCCCCAAGTTGTTTTGGTGTTGTGGAAATGTTTCGAGATTAAACCTGGCATGCTCTGGTATAACCAAAGGCTCTTGTTAGAATAAAATTGTTCACTAAATCATTTTATTACACCCATTGTATGAGATGACGTGGGCGGTCTGCTTATTACTAGAAGAGTATAATCTTTAAAGCCCTCAACAGACGTCCTTTGATGTTGGTAACAGACTTTATCTTGCACCTGTGCTACCCCTCGATCTCGGAAATTGGACCTCTCCTCCAACCCTCTTCAAGGGGGGCTCCTTGGCGTGGTGAAGAGGCTCTTGGTCTGAGGAATTAGCCCTGTCGGTCTTCTTCCTCAGACCGAACCTAATTACCCCCCATTCTCCCCTCCCCTATCCCATCCTCCCCATCCTCCCCTTTTTCCATTCCTCCTCCTCCTCCTCACCCCTCCCTTTTGCCCTTCCTCTTTTTAGCCTTCGTGATTTCTCCCACAGGCGCGCTAGTTCCTAGGTAGGGGAAAGGACACCGGGGTCCATCCCATTCCGTTGAGGTTTCTTGGTGGCGTAGTTTGCCGTGGAATCTGGATTGCCTAGGGATGTCCCGATCCCTCTCCGGTATCCCGGAGTAGCTTTGGGTGTCTTTTGGGCGACGGGTGTATCTCTGGAAGCCACCTTTCGGATTCCGGGGGTGGTGGCTGAAGGAGGTATGCTTTGTGGCGGATATCCGGCCGCCCTCTCTTTTGTCCACCGAGGTAGCTCGGCAGATGTGAGGTTGCTATCCCAGATTGCTGGTTTACTGGCATGAAGGGTGGGGTTTATGGCACGGGTTCCATGCTGCATCTGCGCTACTAGCGGTGTCGAGTCCTCTTGGGCGCGGAGGGAGATTTCTGGCCCTTTCATTCCTCCTAGGAACTATCCCTCCCCGGTCCCCCCTTTTTTTTCTTTTTTTTATTTTTATTTTCTTTTCTTCTTTTTTTTTTCTTAAAAACAAAAAAAGAAGTAACCTAACCATGGCAGCCCTAGTCCATGAACCTGGTACCCCCGGGCCCCTTCTTGATACCGCACCCCGTTCTGACCCCGCCTCGTCTTTGGACCATCCTTCAGACATTCCTCATGCCTCTGTACCTATTGCCGGTGCTGTTTCCTCACCCGCTTCAGGTACTGAGGCCTCGACTGACTCCTTCGATTTATCAGACCTTCGCTCTCCTCTGACTATGCTTCCGGCCTCTCCCTCTACGGTGCGGCAATTTTCAAATCGCCGACCCGTTCCACGTCAGACCAACTCTGGTCCCACGCCTAAACGTCAACGACAATTACCTGCTGATGATACTTCTCCACCTTCACCTTCTCGTTCTTCTCAGAAACGATCGACACGTCCTTCACTACCTTTCCACGCTCAGTTTCAGACTGAACAGTGGACTAAATTCTTCACTTTACGACCAACTTCCTCTACTGCCTATCTTTCTGACCATAGTATTGGCAAGGCACTCCTACGCCATGTTGGTAAAGATATTTCTTTTCATGCTCTTAAGAGCGGTACGCGCATCATTACCGTACAGAATGCTACCCAGGCTCGTGAGCTCTCTCGTCTTTCCCATATAGATACTGTTCCTGTCACCCTTGAAAAACATCATTCCCTCAATTCTTGTAGTGGTACCGTTATTCTGCCCCATACCATAGTTCAACAAAATTTCCGGGACATGTGGCACCGACATTCTAGAACAGCTGGAAACTCCAAGTTTCTCCCAATCCTCAAGGTAGACACTTACGTTCTTCCTGCCCGTGGGCGGGAGACGATACCCTAGCAATGTGGCTCGTTTAAACTTTTGACAGCCGAGAACTCCCATCCTCCGTTTATATAGCAGGACATCGGTTACAAGTTCGAAAGGTGATCCCTACACCACAACAGTGTAGAAATTGCTGGCGATTTGGCCATCCAGCAAAAATATTGCAGATCTATCGCCGAATGCCCAGTCTGTGGTGCCGATGACCATTCTAATACGTCTTGCAATCGATCTCCCCTTGCCTTAACTGTCATGAGGCTCACCCTTCGTACTCTCGCCGTTGTCAGGTCTATTTAACGAGCGGGAAATCCTTTACCTCAAAGAGACAGAAGGTCTCCCTTATGCCATGGCAGTTTCTCATCTCCGCCTCCAAGGGAGACTCCCACGTGTTTCTTATTCCCGTGTTTCAAAACGTCCCCCCACTCTGGTATCCCATCTTCTACACCCACCTCTGTGGTTACCTCCCCCATAATCACTCCTGTATCTAATCCTTTTGCTTGTCCTCGGCTCAGACGTCCCTACTTCAACGCCTCGGTCTAATCTCGCTTCTTCGAGTTCTCTCTTACAAGCCTCAGTATCGACGAGACCTCGTACGACACCTCTTCCCAATCGTCCCTCTACTTCTCAAAAGTCAAAAAAGGTCCGGTAACACCTCCTACCCATCTTCCACCTCCTCATTTTACCCTCCCTGTCTCTGTCCCTAGTTCTTCCCCTCTCACTGGCTCAGTTACAAGTGCAGAGGTTCACCCTCCTCCTCGTAATGTACCTTCCTCCCCTGTTCCCTCCCAAGTTTCTTCCTCTTCTGCCACCTCCCAGGTTCCTGTCTCTTCTGTCCCCTGCCACGCTTCTCCAGTTCCCTCCACCCTTTCGCCCCCCCCTACCTTGGTACAGTCCATTACAGTTCCATCTTTACTCATCCTCCCCCTACCATTCCCAATATTGTCTCCCATACGACATCTCTGAATTCCGAAACACTTGAAGCAATCTCTGAATATATTGCAGAGCCCAAAACCCATCAATGGACACTGATCCACCTTCTGCTCTTTCTCTCTCCTCTGCTCCATCTGCGCAACTCCTTTCTTCACAGCGCACCGTTCCTTCGCTGCTTAAAACATTTTCCACTGCCTCGCATGTGGACTTTTCTAACCCTTCTAGTCCGTAGGAACCCTTACCTGCGGATTTCAAGTATCTTTATCATTGCCAATCATGGCCTTTTTACAGTGGAATATACGCGGCCTCAGGGGTAATCGGGGTGAGTTCAGATGTTACTCTCCCAGTTTGCCCCTGTTGGTGTTTGCTTACAGGAACCAAAATTACACTCTGCTGTTATTTCTCACATCTCAGGCTATAATTTATTGTATTCTTCAGATCCTTTTCCTGATGGGACCTTTAATGAAAGTGCCCTTCTTCTCCGCACTGATATTCCGTACCATCAGCTGTTATTCATACTTCGCTGCATTACACAGCAGCCCGTATCCACTTACAAAAGGTGGTATACACTCTGTTCTTTATATCTCTCTCCTTCTCGGGGGATTATCTATTCCGGATTTTGCCTTCCTTGTTTCGTCATTACCGCCACCGATTCTGTTACTTGGTGATTTTAATGCCCACCATTTTCCTCTGGGGAGGGTCTCACTGTGATTCCCGTGGAATTCAGTTAGAGGCTTTTCTTGCCACCCACCCCCTCCATGTTTTAAAAAACAGGTACTCACACCCATTTTGATCCTCGGACTCATACTCTCTCTTGCATCGATCTCTTCAGTTTGCTCTCCTCCGCCGCATTAGACTTTACTTGGTCTGTTCTCCCGGACTTACATGACAGTGATCATTTCCCAATCATTCTTACTTCCCCTTCATATTCGCCACCTCTTCGCACCCCACGCTGGCAATTTAATCGGGCAAATTGGAACCTTTACTCACACCCGACTGTTTTTAAAGAGGTTCCTTCTTCGTCCTCCATCAATGAGCTTTTACACCTCTTCTCGTCCTCCGTTTTCACCGCAGCTTTCATTCTATACCCCAAACTTCGGGCAGGCATTCTCAAAATGGGGTGCCTTGGTGGTCTCCTGCTTGTGCTCGTGCAGTACGTTTGAAGCGCGCTGCATGGGGCAGGTACCGGTACAATAGAACCACAGAGCGACTCCTTGATTTTTTAAAAAGAAGCGTGCGATCGCTCGCCGTGTCATCCGTGATGCTAAACGCACTTGCTGGCGAGATTATGTCTCCACCATCACCTCTGCTTCCTCTATGAGTGCAGTCTGGAAAAAAAGTACGAAAACTGAGTGGTAAATATTCTCCTGACCCGGCTCCTGTTTCTGCGGGTTGCCGGTGTTGATATACAAACCCACTAGATGTTGCCAATGAAATTGGCAATCATCTGGTCCGTATTTCTCAGGGACTCCATCTATGCCCCTCATTTCTTTCCTCAAAGTCTGCCAAGAGTGTAGCACCCTTGGACTTTTCTTCTCTCAGAGAAGAACAGTATAATGTGCCTTTTACACTTCAAGAACTGGAGGCAACACTCTCAGCTTGTCGATCATCGGCAGCTGGGCCCGACGACATTCATATTCGTATGCTACAACATTTACATCAGTCAGCCCTTGCAGTCCTATTACGCCTTTACAATCTTATTTGGTCACAAGGAGTTCTTCCACAGCTGTGGAAATCCGCCATTGTTCTCCCTTTCCGCAAACCAGGCACTACGGGACATGAAACCTCCCACTATCGTCCCATTGCTCTTACCAGTGCAGTTTGCAAAAGTAATGGAACGTCTAGTAAATAGACGTTTAGTGTGGTATTTAGAGACACACAACAGTCTCTCCACTCGTCAATATGGCTTTCGTAAGGGACGTTCTACCATAGACCCTTACTGCGCTTGGATACGTATGTTCGTAATGCCTTTGCGAATAACCACTCAGTTATTGCCATATTTTTTGACCTTGAGAAGGCATATGACACAACTTGGAGGTATAATATTTTAGCCCAAGCCCACTCCTTAGGCCTTCGAGGCAATCTACCATCCTTCCTTAAGAACTTTTTAACTGACAGGCATTTCCGTGTTCGGGTTAATAATGTGCTCTCCCCGGACTTTATCCAAGCTGAAGGTGTCCCCCAGGGATGTGTTCTGAGCACAACACTTTTTCTCCTTGCTATTAATGATTTGGCCTCTAGTCTTCCATCAAATATTTGGTCACACTCTATGTTGATGACTTCGCTATTGCCTTGCAGGCGCTGACTGTCACCTCCTTACAGTTTCTCTCCAGCATGCAGTCGACCGTGTTTCCAATTGGGCCACCACACATGGGTTTAAATTTTCCTGCACTAAAACCCACCAA